AACTGATTTCTCTTGTTTGTTTAGTTTGCTATTACTCTCTTTTAATTTCAGTTATTTAATTTTCCCACTCAGTGATAATATTCATTTGGCTGAGAGATTACTATTAGCTCCCTGTAGGATTCAACTTAGTACCATTTTTACTACAAATATTTTATTGTGGGACTAGTACTAATTTTGAGGGCTTCGACAACCCGTCACAACCCAAAAGAACGTTGCCGTTAATGGGGTCTTCAACAAAGGAGTTTATTCCAAGAAACCCGTAAACAACATCAAAATCAGTCACAACAACGGAAACAACAAGAGCAAGAAAAGATCTCCGTTTTTTGTTCCAATGAAGCCAGGGACGATCACCGACAAGATTGCAGATTGATCGAAGAAATAGCGATCTTGGACCTAATATGCGATGGATCTTGGACCTGACCGAAGAAGATTGCTCAGAGATAACCGCTTTGTACATGGGGCTTTGAAATGGAAAGCGTAATTGGACGGAAAGATTTGCTCCACGAACAGAGATCAAGAAAGATCGAAGAAGATTGCAGATTGAGAAGGTTGCGAAGGTTGAAGGTCTCTAAGCTCTGATACCATAATAGAGATGAAGAATAATAGAGAGTAGGAAAACAAGTGTGAAAACTTGAGAGAAATATTTCTTTCTTTCTTGTTCATTCCATCTTAGATATACAACCATATATAGAGAGAGAAGTTAGTTATTATAACCAACTCTCCAACTCAGTAGATGTAACTAATTTTTCAATTACAATTTGTATTAACTGGCAACAACATTCATCAAAAAATAAGAAGCCAAAATCTTAAACAAATCTTCTCAAGCTTAGTTACTCTTAGCCATAAACCTCCCTGAAACCTACTCTATTGTTTTCTTAACCTGTATTTTAAGTTATTGCAGAGTAGTCAACTTTGAGCCCGAAGATTATTGTTGCCAAGTTCCAAGCTTACTGACCGCTCATTATATGCCTTAGCACATGGATCAAGTTGCATCAATAACAATAACTATGGGAGCAATGGAAGCAGCACCAGATCATTTGTTGAGGTTATGGATATGGAGACAAGCAGCAATCTACCTCCTCATCTTCTTGAAAATTTTCATCTGTTAGGTTTTATTTTGAAAATTTGAGGAATACTGAAGGGCAAATTTGATATTTCATTTTTTTCTATTAATACTTAACGGTAATGTCAATTGTTAGAAAACTTAGGGGGTACTTTAAGAGAATAGTTAAACAGTAATGGTATAGTTAGTCAATTAGCTCAATAGTAGGGATAGTTTAAGAAATTTGCCCTTTTCAAAAATACCGAACCGACCGGTTTGGTTATTGAAAATTTTGATTCAATCTTATCGGTTTGATTCGGTTTTTCTCGGTTTCTCTTGCTCACTCCTACTAGAAAGTGGTAAACCTTATGCCATAAATAGAGAGTAAGACATGCCAATGGGTCAGGTAAAATGCTAAACCCGCATTGATCCAATACTTTCAAGCCGAAGTAGAGTCAGTCTATATTGAAATACTTGTATTTGTAGTTTGATTGAATATTGGAGCATTAAAATATTTATTTTTGTAGGTTTGGTTGAGTGTAGATATATTAGATATGTGATAGGCAAGTCAGTTATATTGGTGTCGAGTTCACTCACATAAGTATAAGTAGATTAAAATTGAATGTCAATTTCTACCCTACCTAGTGGATATTCATTTGGATTGCCCCTATCCACACACCAATGGGATGGGCTATTCTTTGCTCCAAAATGGATTTGGGGTGGGGATGGACTTTGGGGTTTTATAACCCATATGGATATGAGTAGGGTATATGGTATTAGGTTAAACCCAACCCTTGCCAACCTGCATGTTGGTGGAAAGGCATGCAAATTTATGTATGAGGTGTTGAACTTTGGGTAAAATATTTATACTATCCCTTTAGTTTTACATAATGGACTAAAACTTACCTATTATTTGAAAAAATTTCTTAGGTCCAATTTGGGAGGAGTACAAATACAAATATGTAAAGTGTAAAACCTTGTATTTTATATGTATTTGTAATGTACATATTTGTATTTGTATTCTTTCCAAACTGAGCCTTAAAGTATCCTTAAGTTTTCTGGCAATTACCAAATTCTTCCCATGTCGTTAGCATGCTATTATAATCTACACTCAATATCAAATTTTCCATTCATTTTCTTTAAATTTTTAAAATAAAACTCAACATATCTAAAATTTCAACAAAACCTTTACTTATACATCGAGTGTCTCCAACAAGGATGTCCAACCTCCTTTCACCACCACTAATAAAGAGATTTTAGAGGAGCCCCCAATAGTATTTGGTTGAATAAGTTTCTGCATTAGATTTCAGATAAAAATGAAATCAAATACTTTCTATGACCCATTTTCAGCCCATTTGATTCCACCTATGTTCGGTTCAGTTTGTCTCCCTAAGCCTGTGTTTTCGAATGAGCTTTACTTGGGCCTACTAGGAAAGAGGAAACACACCCTGATTCTAGCAAGATTGGTTGTGAGGATGCCCTTTTACATGTAACATGCCAGATGCAATGGTCTGATCCACTTTTTGTGGACCTCGAATTTGGTCAACTACACAACCTGTGATGGATCCTTTGGAGGTGCCATTCATATCCCCAATTTTGGGTAGTGAAGACGTCCAACCCCAACAAGTCCCCTCTTCCCAAACTAGCAATTTGGAGCAACACATGGATCGTTTGTTAGCTTTTAAGAGTTTTCTTGGTGTGTCTTTTTGCCAAATGTCAAGACTATCAAGCTCGTGAGTGGTTGAGTTATAAGGGAGAGCTCAACATTTAAGGCTAGACTTCTTCTTTAGGCCTCAACACAAGGAGTGAGTTGGATACTCCATCGACAATTTGGGTTGCCTTACTAG